TTTTTTTTTTTTTTTTTTTTTTCCTTATACTGGTATGTTGGACTGATTCTGCCTCTGCTGCACAGGGAAATGGAAAGTCTTATTAAAGCCTTTAGATGTTTTCATACTTTAAAGAACAAAAATATGTACTAATCATACCTAATGTGAAAGGGTTTTGAAACATGAAAAACAGAAACTGGCAGGATCTTAAAATGAAGGTTAAGAAAAAAATCATCTGCTAATGAAAACCATGTGCTGCCTATATGTGTGATTTATCCTGCCAGGGGATTTCCTACATGCCTGATCTATTTGACCATTTCCATTAGACTGATTGTCATTCAAACACAGAACTATACATAATGCTGATACGGTTCAAACACCTCTTAAAGAAACATGGCAATTTTTTGTAATTGTCAGGTTACTGAACCAAAAAAATAAGAAGAAGTAATTGATTTCTTAAACTAATAGAAACTGTGAATGCTAGAAAGGCAAGCTCTGGGACCCAGGGCCCTCCATGGCATGTTTCTGCCAGAGGAGGGGCCAGGGCAGTGCCAGCTATTCTCATCCCCAAGTCATAAGGCCCACAGGGTGAACGCTTGGTTTTTAATAACAATCCTTTCCCTGCAGCGAAAGCATTGCAGCATGAGGTGTGTGCGGCTAAAGCCAGCTATAGATGCTCACTTTGTTTGTTGGCCAAAAGTGTCGAGCTCAACAGCTGCACACAGGAGAGCAGGGGGGCACGTGGAGTACCGTTCATCATGGAGGTGCTGTTCTGGGTCCCTGCTGCTGACTGGATGAGGTCATTACACTGTAGTTACTGCTTAGCCAGTGACAGTCTGGCAGCAAGAGCTGAAACCTTGCTCAGATGTGATTTTTAAAGCAATCGTTTTAATTAAGCAAAGATGATATGCCAAAATGCTATATACAATGTCAAAACCAACAAAATATCTATTAATTGTTTTGAGATTTTCCATTCAGAAAAAAAATGGAAGTTAGCACAATAGGAAGCTGTGAGGACGCATGCAGACTGTTGCTGTGTCACATATAGCTAATGATGTGTGGCTTTCATACTTTTTTTTGTTTGTTTAAGAAAGTTTACTCATTCCTTTCAGCGGTATCTCAGTGTATTAATTTAGAGATACAGCAGTCACAAATGACATTTTTAACTTGTAAAATTGTGTGATAATACTTATCATTTGGAAATATAGGAATAAGAATCTGGCCCATGTCACCAGACATGAATTTGAGTAGTTGCTAAGAGTTGGTGTCATGATATGTCTGATCAGTCCCTCCTGTCACTGCATCACTGGTTGCCACTACTGGGTGGCAAAAAAAAAAAAAAAAAAAAAAAAAAAAGGAGGTCTTGTTGCTGTATGAGTCAGAATTTCTGCAGTTTATATTTAAAAACTGGTTCAGTGTATCACAGCAGGTGACTAATGGTGCATCCCTGTCTTTGTGTCCCCTTCAGCGAGCTGTAGTCGTGGGTTTTGTGTGCTTTGTAGCCTGTTATATGGGAAGCAGCAGACAATCGAAGACTGGAGGAGCACTGGCCGCTGCCAAGTCAGTGAGAGTGTAATGTGGAAGCATTTTTGAGGGATTTTTTTGTTTTGTTTTACTTCTTTTCATTAAGACTGGAATCAAGCTTTCATGTAAACTATTGGTAATTTAAGTTTCCTTTTGTGTCAGTGTAAAACTGTCTAATTTGGAAAAATGTAGGATATGAAAAATAAAGATTTAGGCACTGTTCAGTTTTTCTTTTGATTTTTTTTAATTAAAATTTTCTTCAAGAATGTCTCTTTTTTTAAATGATTTTTCTTTTTTTTTTTTTTTTGTCTATTTCCATCAGTGTGTGTGAGAAAAATACATAGGTGGGTCCACACTTGGCATTGTAAAGTCCCATGTTGACCTGTAACTTGATCATAGCATGAGGAGCTTAGTGCTTGTTCGTTAGGGTATGAAGAGTGAGCGCTGGAATGAGTGAATTCACAGAGACACTCAACCCAAGTGAGCCACAGAAATATTCCTGGGTCAAGATTCTTAATTCTTTTGTTAAAATGACAATGCCTGACCTACCATGTCTCCATCAGACTCAATGTTGCCATGATTTTCAGATCATAGACAAGTCACATGTCAGTAACAAAGTAGCTGACTTACCCATAAGTGCTGGTGCCATCAGCACATGCGAAAGGCTGTGGGTAGGACTTTGTAGTGCTGGATGTTCTTAATTTAGTGGGCAAAGAGCTTGAGGCAGATACTGATTCCCCTCCCCCATTTTCCCTGTTTTTATACTGGGTTATCTTTTTTTCTTACCGATAATCTATCTGTTCTGGATTCTAATCCTTTGTTTTATATTACAAATAATTTCTGTCCACATATCAGTTTAGCTTTATTTGTAGTAGTATCTTTTATAGTTTTTAGTAGGTAGTAAAACTTAACCAACTTTTTGTGATTTGAGTCTTGGTCTCATTTAAGCAGTCTAAATATTTTACCTACATGTGTCTTTAATTCAGCTGGAAATTTGATTGTCTGTGTGTAAACCTGAGGTGTAGGGATCCAGTTTTACCTTTTTGCCACATGGCAAGTCTTCTTCCACTGTCAGTAACAGCACTCCTGTTGCTTTACTTACCCATGTGCCTGGATCTTTTCTGGGAGCTCTGTTCTTTGTCTCTGTATTTCGTTCTGTACTGTACATAGTGACATCACAGTGTTAAATTCACTGATCATTCTGCATTTCTTGTTAGAATTCACGATTGTGATAAGTGTGTTGTGCCCATCTAAACACCACCCATTGCCTGTCTTTAATACACTGGCTGCAGTATAGTATGTGCTCAATAAATATTTTCAGTACAGTACTTGTTGATTATACATTTTTTGCACACAGTGTTGTCCTCAGAAATGTATTAAGAAATAGGCTAGGGTTTTGATTTACGGTTGCCACATAACCACTCCAAAATTTGGTGGATTAAAGTGATAGCTTTATCTCTAGATTGGGCTGTGGGCCTCATGGGGGTGGCTCTGCTGAAGTATGTTTAGGGCAGGAGGAAAATCAAGCTGTTTACCATTTCATGGCTAGGGGAGATGTGCAATCAAATCTTAATGTTTACTTCTTTCCTCCCTTTCCCCTCCTGGTTCACCTGTAGGAAAGTGAGTCAGAGAAGGAAGGGCACAGCAAGTACTGAGATGACTTAGCAGAGACCATCG